GGCCATCCTGGCCTCCAAGAACCACTCTGGCTGCACATCTTCCAACATAAATCTATTCTTTTGGCCTCCCATGAGGTATTACATATAATAAAATTTGGAAACAACCTGAATTTACCTGTATGAGAATTATTATACAGTCATTAAAATATTAACATTTATAAACAGAATTTTAATGACATAAAATGTTTCCAATACAACATGCAGTGAAACACATAAAATGCAAACTAGATATGGTATAATGTCAACTCCAAAACTAATTCATAGAATAATTAAAATATTGTATTTTATTATTTTTCTGTGTGCTAGTACAATGTAAAGTTTGGTTTCCTCATTATGTTTTTCATTTCAAAATTTTTTATAACTAAGTTTTTTTAATTAGTTATATTTTAAGCCATATTTAAATTATAAACTTAAAACTATACAGAGTAAATATAAATTCACAATAGTCACTTGTAAAGGTTAAAACTAAGGATGGTATATGGAAAGGCAGTAAGGTGGATATTTATTTTGTTTAAGTTTATGCACTCTATAACTATTGAGTACCTATTGTGCGCCAGACATCATGTTAGATGATTGTTGTTATTGTTATTGCTATGTGCTATGGAGTCGGTGACTCATAGCGACCCTTCATAGGGTTTCCAAGGCTGTAAATCTTTACGGGGGCAGAAAGCCTCATCTTTCTCCCACTGAACAGCTGGTAGTTTCAAACTGCTGACCGTAAGATATGCAGCCCGATTCGTAACCACTTCGCTACCAGAGTTCCTTGAATAAGATGATAAATATAATAAATCATGGCAGTTCCAGTGCTGGGGATGTAGCTTGGACACTTGGATTCCTCTCCAGATAGCGAACCAGTGGAGGCTGTGGAAGATTACAGATGGCTTTCAGGACCCTGAGCTAAGTTTTCATTTACTCTACTTCCCACACTGGTAAGAATTTACAAATTTGTGCCTTTTTTTCATGTTGTAGCTGCAATCCAGCAATGGCGATCAGAAGGTAGAATAGCCGTTTGGCTGCACATTCCTATCCTCCAAAGCCGATTTATTGCCTCTGCTGCTTCCCTGGGCTTCTGCTTTCATCACGCAGAATCAGATTCATCAACGCTTACACTGTGGCTGGGAGAAGGGCCTAGCCGACTGCCGGGATATGCTACACATCAAGTAGGAGTAGCAGGTCAGTTACAAATTAAAATTATCATTATAATTCAAAATTGAGTTTTAAGAGGTCAATCCAGTTTCTTGCTGCCTATAGCTAAGCAGATAATTTATTCAGGTGGAATGAATTATTTAATTAAATGGTGTCTGCCTTGGGTCTATTGCAGTCAGCATACTTGTGTGGTACTGTAGGATAAACACTGGATTGCTTACCACAAGGTCTACAATTCAAACCCACCAGCCATTCTTTGGAAACTATACAGGGTCACTATAAGTCAAAACTGATTCTATGGCACTTAACAATAACAGCTTTGAGACTATTGCGATTATCAGCCCACCACACAACCCACTGAACCACAAGGCCTCCTAAACTATTGCAAAGTGCTTGAAAATAGATAACATTTGTCTTACAAATCAACAGAAGGCAGCACAGAAAAAAGTAAATTTAGCCTTTAGTTTTCCAAAGGATATGTTTGAATAAGTTTTATACAGATATTTGAATTTCACCTGGAGTCCTGGTGTGGAGTTGTAGGATAAGCACTGGACTGCTAACTGCAAGGTAAGCAGTTCAAACCTACTAACTACTCGGAAACCTTAAACAAGACTGCTCTGAGTTGAAACCAACTCCAAAGTACTTAACAATAGGCAAATAGTGGGTGCCCTGGGTACAGTGGTTAAAGCACTCAGCTGCTAGCAAAAAGTCAGCAGCTGGAACTCACTAGTCACTAGTCATTAGATGGCGGATCGGGTAGACGTATAGTGAGGAGCTCGGTCAACAACAACACGGAATACCAGGTCAAGAGGACTCATGAGTTGGTGTTGAAACTCTGTAACAAATATAAAGGTATGTTTGGAGTTTCGGACTGATTGGAAGAGATCAATGTTTATGCCCATTCCAAAAATAGGTGACCCAACAGAATGCGGAAATCATCGGACAATCTCTTTGATATCCCATGCAAGTAAAGTTTTACTAAAGGTAATACAGAAACAGCTACAATCATACATTGACAGAGAACTTC